ATTAAATGAAGGCAAAAATCATTGTACAACATACCTATTATTTCAGCCAAGAAACTCTACAGAAACTAAAGAAAATCGAAATCGATCTTGACGAATATATCGACAAACAGATAATCACTGTCTATATTATTAGAAAAGACAGTTACCAGTTCCAATCCAAACAGATTCAAAAGTTAAGGAACGGCAAGAAAGATCTATGATATCTATCCGAGGGAGAATATTAAAGTTCCTATTAAATGCCAAAAGAAAGTAACAAAAGAAAATTTAGTATATACGCATGAGAATTAAGTCACATAATAACCATCAAACACTTATCAACGAAACAAAAAAATCAAATCCAAATCAACGGAAACGTCGGAAGAACTTTAAATAAAATTACTTGGACCTGGTTTAAAAAAATAATATAGCAAGCTCTCAAAACAAAATTAGAATCAGCTATCTTCAATATTTCTGTTATCTTGGAATATAATAAAAAGAATAATCAATATAAAGTAATTGAGTGATAAGAGAAATTATCCTCAAAAGAAACACTCACCAACGTGGCTATCAGTACAGAAGAGCTCTGACAATATTGTCAAATACAATACAAGAAACTTAAAAACTATTTTCAGATAAACACTAAAGAATTCATACGAATATTTCTCGATTCATATATTTGAAAACAAATTTGATATCACGAAACCGGAGAGGAAGTCAAAGAAAAATATAGAACGGCCCTCATTAGAGAAATCAAACGATTTCTGTTAGTAACAATACGAGAAAATTATTTTCAAGAATATCTTTAACAAATACACGAAGATACTTACTGGTTTTGCGAAGATAAATTTGAGAAAGTATATTCTCTTTCTGAATACGAGAATAGTACCGAAAATATTCAAATAAAGAACGAACAATCATTATCTGAGACAACAACAGAGGGAGGAACATTCGAATAAGATCAGGAAGTAATCGAAGGAAGCCAAGAGATAGATAATTTCGAACAACAATTAATGGCGCTCTTAGAAGAAACAAAAGCCGAAATCACCTCACAAGATACTGAAGAAAGTGATAGATCCAACCAAAACAACACTTTATTCGGAAGTCTATCCAAATATCAAGAAATTAATAATAAAATAAATCAAAACGAATTAATCCGTGAGTTACAACAAATAGGGATAACAATGAGTAACAGAGATCCAGATCTCACAGAAGATGTACCATGGCGAAGAAGGAAACAAGGATCAAGTAGGAATGAAAGTTATAACGATATAGCCATACAGGATGAATGGGGAAATCTCATAACCAACACTGATAACGAAGAAGATGATAACGGTGCGGGAGTATCAGCACCAGAAGATGG